GTGTGTGTGTGTGTGTGTGTGTGTGTGTGTGTGTGTGTGTGTGTGTGTGTGTGTGTCTGCTGCATATCTGTCAGACTGCAAACAAAGTGACAAGTGCTGGATCAGTCACAATGACTTTCCAATCAGAAAAACCTCCTGCAGTGAGCCAAATGGCTAATGCCTTCCTGAAATAGACATTGTGCTTAATGGGAAAACATGTTGCTTTTCAGAGAAATAATTGTTGAGGTGAGGCTTGTAACAGTACTATTGCTCATATAGTAAACTARCTGCCTTCTTTTCTAGCACAGTAAAGCAATCGTTTATAACAAAACAGAACAAAACGTGTTTGTGTGAGTTTCTTGTTGGTCCTATTTGTTCTCTAGTCTTTACAGATTTTAGTTTTAAACAAACTAAAATAAACAACTATCAAACCACAAGAAGGTGGTGAGCTAATGGTGCTACACCAAACCTATAAACAACAAATTTGACAATAATTTAGAAAAAAAAACAGTTAATACGTATTAAGAAAAAAATACTTTTGACTAGCATCTGTTTAGCTTAACATTACATTTTCATATTCAGTAAAATCACATCTTTATTTTATAGGTGACATATTTATTTGTTATGTTACTACACAGATTTACTGTATATGCAATATTTACTCAACTTGTCCAGAGCGTCTACCTATCACTCAGAATTTTTAATTTTGCAACCTCGTAAAAGGTCACTGAGGTCAGGGGAACAGATGCTCCTGGATGTACAGAGGAGCAGATGAAATCACAGAGGAGTTTGGGGTTTTCACTGTAGCTGGAAGACTAAAACCTCTCAACACTTTGCAATTTCAAAGCATGCAACTCAGTTTAACATTTAAACTGGCCTAAGTTACAACATCTTTTCTAATCCTGGTCTTATAGTGATATTTTATATACATTTTACTGTAATGTTTTAATTTAAATACGGTTTCTTTATTTTGTATTTTGCTACAACTGTTGTTTTACATGTATAGCACCAGAACACCAGACGTTTTTAAATGTGCTCATAAATAAAACTGATTTGACTATTTTGTCTCCAGCTGATTTTAGTAGCTGCTTGCTACAGTTAGCAGTACAACTTTCATGTTTTACACAAAAAGTAGAATATCACAGACATGTCATGTCATTTTTTTAGTTTAGTGTTTTATTTTAGTTTGGTTTTATTTGTTTAGTTTGGTTTGAGTTTTGAACAGAACCCTGTGGTATAAATAAAATGTCTGTACAATACAAAGTTAAATAAACCACGCCAAACACTTGGAAATTTCATTAGAATTGAATGAAAATATTCTCTCTCTTTAGTGGATATTTCCACGACAAAAACTATGCAAAAAATTTAAGAGTAAAAACTTAAAAAATGAAAACAAAAAATCTATAAATATGATTTTCTAGTAATGACAGCAAATCCCATGAAAATATGTGATTCACCTCAGGCAGCCCCTCACATTCCAAAATGACAGCAACTTTGGGATGTGAATTTCATTTTTGTACAAAAAATCTAACCCCAGTAAATTCAAATTTTGCATGGGTCTCAAATTAAGATTAGGTTTAGGTAATGAATGACAAGTAATTTATAAGTATAAGTATATTAAAAATAAAAGTAGTTTTCAGTAACAAACTAATTATTATTGAACAAAAGAATAGCAGAAATCCCATCAGCACATATCAGTTACAAATGTTACATTTTTAGGATTGTTTTTATATTCTTATTGTGTTTTTAACAACCTATAATAAAAAAAAAGTTCTAGTGTGACTTTTTGGAAAAAGACAGAAGCTTTAAACTTTAGCTTTGTTGTGTTTTCATTGTTATTATACTGTGTGTGCAATTTAGTCAATAACCCAGCAGACAAAAGCCATTTACATAGAAATGACAACAATCCAATTTATCTTTACTTTCTGATCCAATCTGCACTTCTTGCGAGGGAGTAAAAAACTAGCTGAACAGACAAACCTCAGAAAGTTGCACCACTCAGAGCAGAAACGGTAGGTAAGAATTTCAAAAGGAGACGAGCAGTGAAAAGAACTGTGTATGTACCTGTTCTGAGCCTGGCTTGGCGAGGAAGATGGTGCTCTGTTGACAGGCGTCATCTGAACAGGCAGGGAGGAGGTGGTCCTGATAGCCATCGCCATCTGCCAGAAAGAAACAAAGTGTTAGATCAAGAAGGAACAATGTTGGACTGAATCTAAAGCCAATTGTCACACTTTGTTTTCAAAACCTGTGCTATTTTAACGTTTTCACTCCATCTCAACACCTCAAACCTGTTCTGCAGTCGAATTTCAGAGCAGCACCATTTCTGGCAACTGAGGAAATCGTTGCTACCCCCTCCTCCCCCAATGTGCGAATTTGATCACAAGAGCACATGCTTGTTCTGCACAAAACAAACATGAATCCAAGCTGTACTCATCTCTTTGATGGTTTTAATACGTGCTCAAATATTTCTCAACTTCTGTTTTATTGTTATTAAATATAAATGTTAAATATGATCATTATATGTAGTGTATTAAAAAAATCCATGATGTTCTCTAAATTCCATAATTTAAATTCCTACTTTAATCTTTTTTTGTTGTTAAAAATCCTGGTATTTGGATCACTCACGCTATGACTAAGTCCCAACAGAACACCAAATTAAAAACATGTTTAAACGACCATTTAAATGTGTTGTTGTTGTGAGTTAAAATCCATTTCTGACACGGTTAATAAAAATCAGCTTCAGCATGGTAAGAGCAAGACTCCCAAACAGATGTTTTGCCATGTGGAAAGGGAAAACCGAATGACTGTGATGATGAATGACAGAGCAAAGATGATGAGGAGGAGAACCTCAATGTGGGCTGTCAGGGYCAACTGAGCGAGAGACAGAACAGCCGAAAATAAGACAGATAATTAAAAAATGCAGAGGATAATAAGTCAACATTTAGTCGCATCAAATTCGAGAGTCATACTGCACTCCCGTGTTTTTAGATTTGTAATTTTACCCCTARTCTTGTCTAAACCCAGATATTTAGGACATAAATAGTTTCTACTGGTACGTGTCCTGAAACATATGGCGTAAACAAAAACATTTCTTTTTTTATTRCCTCTAGGCAAATTATTTAAATATGAGCAAGGCTTTTAATTAGTCCCATTAATGTTTGTGCCCAGAAAACAAATGAGTAAATATAAAGTATTTGCATTTGATTCACTGTGTAGAGGCAGATATGTGTCAGCACTGAGATACTGGTGTGTGTATGTGGGCATATAAAAGGTTATGTAGACAAAGTTGCAGACATAATGAGTGCTAGGTCTTGATTTTCTGTCTCTGATCTCAGAGATCTTCTACATGAGCACACACACTTCTCAAATGGATCCGTCCCTGCTGCAATCTTTCCCGTGAATATCTTCCTTCATCCTATACATTCAGCAACCTCTCTAGTATTCTTATGCCCTCCTGTTTTCCATTTCTCCTGTAGTTCACCTATTTSCCTTTCAATCTCTCTTTCCATCCGGTGCTTTCAGTTGTAAATCTCTTTTTTTTTCTCCCTTGTTATTCATCCTCAATTTCATTCTTCTTTCTTTCTTTTTCTTCCCGTCTCTCGCTGCTGAGACATGGTGTGGTGGAGTTTGAGAGAGTCGTGAACGGAAGCTGCCGTTATGGTTTAATACGGACAAGCCGGTGTGGAGAGGGGACATCAGAAAAGAATGGGTGGAAGAAAAACAAGGGGAACAGAAGAATGGCTAAAAGCAGCAGAAAGCACTAAGGAGGCTAAATCAGGATACACAGACACTGTAGCATCAATCATTGTGACCAAATGGCTTTCACAGTACATAGTGTACATCTCAGCGCCAAATACAATAGAAATCATACCAAGTACTCACTCAAGTACACTTGGAGGGATGCCYCCTGTCAACACTGTATTATTAGAATTACGTTAAACAGCTGACATGAATGAACCAGTATCAGTGTAGAAAAGAGCAGCTGAGCTTCTGGGTTTGAGAAAGAAAGTCTGTGTTACGTTTTCTCTAACTGGAAATAATGAGCAAGTCCTCAAGTTGTCAAAACAAAACTACTGATACGAAAACTACTCTTTGTCTTGATTTATTACCCAAATAAATATTTACTTACTTAAATTAGTTCCAAATTCAAACTTAAGTTTTCCATAGGACAATATTCTGCAAGACTGTGATTGTTGGTGACTGCTTGACAAAGGCACTTGAAAGGAAGTCACCAAAATGGCTGGGTTCTCCATTTCCCCATGTGATTTACAGAGGCTCACAGCCCTGCTGCTTGAGTTTTATTCACAGAAAGAAAAAAAAAAATCAAATAAGTTCAAGAGTGTCTGAGCTGCAGTTTGACACCTGCACAGGAGCTCTCCATAAGACAGAACCCATCCAGGACTACAGCCTTGAATGTCCAGGTCTACAAACCATGCTAATAATAATTTATGAGTAGTAGAAGAATGAGCCAAATTTGCTTTCTTAATTTTAAAAGTGCACTGAAGTAAAACAAACCAAAAATATGTGGTGGCTGCTTAMATGGGCACAAAGTTGGCTGAGGAGGAGCTGAGCAACAAAATAATGTGCACAGCTTATAATACAATAACAAAAGCAGAGCATACATAAATATGCTGTGATTTTTCACAAACTGGCTCACTGGTTGCTTGGTTGAATACAATCAGAAATCAGCAAGACTGCAAAAGACAAATAACCCTTTAAAATGCTGAGCCACTAACTATTCACCAACAGCGACAACAACACAATTAAATACATTTATTACAAATACGTGTTTTGGAATTTACAATCCCAATTACAAAAAAAGACTGGCAAGCCAATGCTAAACTGCATACTGAAGTGGCCTGCTTCTTATAAACTAATTCAGTTGAACAGCTAGAATCAAACATCAGACAAGAGTGGGACGACATTCCCTCCAAAGACTCCAGAAATTGCTCTCCTCGATTCCTAAATGTTTACAGATTGTGTTAAAACAAGTAGGGACATTTAAATGTAGTAAACTGTCACAGCTTCTTTGAGATGCCATCAAATTAAAAATTACCCTTTCCTCCCTAAAATTAGAAGCACTCCTTAGTTTAAAACATTTTATATGTTTATGGTATCCCATTGTGAATCAAATTTGGCTTTATAAGATCTGTTTATATCTACTATCTGTTTTACTAACATTTTACACACTGTCCTAAGATTCTCAGAATGAGTCTTGTACAAAATAAAAAAATAAATAAATGAACAAACATGTAAATTACAAATTAAGACGTAAAAAGGTCAAAAGTTCATAGTCTCCCTCCATGAGTAATCTGCTGCCAGCCGTCCTTAAACTGTGCAGGTGAGCAGGTCAAGTGATAATGGCTTATTAAGAGCTTGGTTTCATATTTCTCCCTCTGTGCTCCTGTTTYTTGGTAATTTTGTCTCAGTTGGTTTGTATGGTAATGGTCAAAGCTCAAATGCATCGTCATTTTTAGTTGCATTTGAATAAGCATAAACAAAACCGTAAAAGTCATTTTGGTGAACTGTATTTTTATTATTTTAAAAGTGCTAAATATTATGTAGATGGGTGTTTAAGTCTGCAGATTATAAATAATTGTCAAGATAAAATTGACAATTTTGGGAAAAAAAGTATTGACTTTTTCCTTCAATCAAAGACACTTTGAAGTCAGACTTTTTTGCACTATTTGCATCAAATTGCTTATTCAAATGTGCAAATAACCATCTAAACTTGGAAACCATAAACCCATGGGATTGACTTAAAAAAATCTTTAAATGCTAAAAATATCCCATAATGTTGCATTTATTTTTCTGTACTATTGACATATTTTGTCTTTATTAAATAAGCATAAAAATATTGTTCACACAAATGTACATATATGCCATTTTGCTTGGAAAGCCCCCTTTGATCTCAAAACAAGAAGCAGATTTTCACTACTTCTGCTTCAAAAGGTTCATACATTTTTTTCAAAAACGTGAGACAGAGGAAAAGTGATGGAGAAAGGAAGACAAGAAGAAGAAACAGCAAAGAATAAGGAAGCAGTGCAGGCTGGTTAACAAGACAGGACAAGACAGGTAGTAAAATTATTTAAACAAAAAAAAAATGGAACTACAGGAAAAAAAATAGTGGAAAGTGGTTGAGGGGATAGTGAAGCAGACAGAAAAGAGGGGGGAGCGTGGATTTAACATGATATAATAAGATGAGTGGAAAAAGAATGCCTAGGGGGAGAGGAGAGAGAACTAGGTTGTTAACATGCTGACTTACCTACACACACACACACACACACACACACACACACACACACACA